AAAAAAAAAAAAAAAAAAAAATTTAGTTCATAGCTGCAGAGTGTTTCTTTCAGTTCCTAATGTGGATCTACCACCCCTGTGTTCATCGAGATTCCGGTCTGGACCTCCTGGAGAAGAGGCCCAAGTGGCTAGCCAGTTCATTGCAGATGTCATTGAAAAGTAAGAGCACCATGATAAAATTTTACTGTAATTCATTTTCAGATAGTTTTTGACTTTTCATTTACTTTGCTCTTTGTCATTAAATCAAGTTCACAGATAATTCTGAAAGAGGACTTATGCATTTCTCCAGGGAAGGTAAGAGGAATAGAGAAGCTATAAGTTCTTATTAATTCTGAAGAGATTTTTTTTGTGGGGGAAAGGGAACAAGGAAATTAAAATCACCAATCAAAGTAGCCTTAAATATGGCTGCTTTACAGATTTTAGAGATTCAGTCATTTCTTACTCTATAATGCTCTAAGTGAACCATATTGTTTATAAAAAACAAGTTTGACTAACTTACTGCCTGTCTGGGAGCTACCTTTTAAACTGAAGTAATTTTTTTTCCCCCTTAACCTTTAGAGAAAAGTTCAATCATTTTTTATTCCTTATAGCAGATTATAATATTGATCATATTAACATATGTTTTTGGTGAATCCACAGTAGATTCCAAAGTCTGTTTGAAAATGTACAACTAGGTTGATTAGAACCTAGAGAGGCTTTCCATAAACTGATACGTTAGCACTGTAAAACCTAAACATTTCATGTATTATGGGTAAGTGCATTTTGAATTTTAGCTAGGGCTTTCAAAACCATCTTCCTTATATGTAACCTCCCACTAAGAATGGAAATTCCTTCTACATCTGTAGCTCCATTAAGGGAAATGGACATGTTTGTCATTTGTCAGCTTGGCAATCAAAAGCCAGCTTTCACCAAACCTGTCCACTTTCTTCTGGTTTTCTACTTGAAAAAGGTAAAGCATTTTCTTAAGGTTTTTGAGCCTTGAAGGTTATCTTGCTTGTTTAACCAAGGGTTCTGTGGTTCTTAAGTCTAAGCGAATAGCATGTTCTACCCATTAGAAGGCTTTAATTTCCTTTTGTGTTAATTCTATTTTAGCTTGCCTGGGTTCTATACTGTGATCTCATTTGCCTCGACTATGATGGAAACATTTTGGATGCCTGCACATTTGCTTTGTTAGCGGCTTTAAAAAATGGTAAGCAGCCTTACAAAAACGGCAATATTCCCACTAATGGGTTAGAATGTTCTGTTTTGTGAAACTTTTAATGTACATTTGCTTTCGTATGCTTCCAAATTAATGAATGTAATACTGCCATTACTTTCCAAATATAGTTGATAGTTGTATATTCTCTAACTGAATGCTCTTTAGAGTGCTGCTTTGACTGTACCCGTCTACTTAGGTTAGGACTTCAGTCCTTTCCATAATAGTGTTAATAATGGTGGGAGAGGGAGACAAGACTTGTAACTTCTGGCTAGGTGATTGGTGAAGATCTGCCAGTATCCTCATAGTTCTTTATGTGATATTGCCAAAAGAATTAGAATGGATTCTGTTGTTTTTACTGTGAGGCCATAGTAATAGTGAAGTTTCTTAGCAAGGAGTCTAGGTTGACTGATTAGTTACAGATTTCAATAACTTGTGCATATTCCCTATCATTGGTGAATGATGAATTGGTAGGAACAAATAATTGGAGGTGGAAAATAAAGTTAGCACAGCAATATTATAATAGAGTGGTTAAGTGAATTGGAGGTAGAAAATGAAGTTAGCACAATATTGTAACAGAGTGGTTAAAGCAGAGACTTAGGTTTGATTCCTGGCTGTGTCACTCTGTGCTGAAGTTTCCTTATCTATAATAAAATAGGGATAATAGTATTTAGTTTGTAAGAGTATTGATTAGGTGAATACAATGAAAATGTGGAAATGCTTAAAACAGTACCTGGCATATACAAATTAGCTAGACATGTTATCTATTAGTAATCATTTTCATTTCAAAACTGGGTACAGTGGCACATGCCTATAGTCCCACCCAGCTACTGGGGAGGTTGAGGTGGGAAGATTGCTACGAATTCAGTTCTAGCCTGGGCAACATAACAAGACCCTATCTCTAAAAATTAAAAAAAAAAATCATTTTGACTTCTTAAACTTAAAAAAATTATGCAATAAGCACTAGGTAGGCATGTCGGATGTTGTGAAGAGCAATGTATATCCTCTGTATTTACCTTAGTGGCTGTAAGGTGCTTTTTAAAAAGAAATGTTCTGGGCAAGTTCAATCGAGGGAAAGGTGAATTAAAAAAAAAAAAAAGCTTAAAAACCATTTGTTTCTTAGAGACTTACTTTACAAATTTGCCTTTTCTTAGTACAGTTGCCTGAAGTTACTATAAATGAAGAAACTGCTTTAGCAGAAGTTAATTTAAAGAAGAAAAGTTATTTGAATATTAGAACTCATCCAGTTGCAACTTCCTTTGCTGTGTTTGATGAGTAAGCTAATCAAACTTACTTTAAAATTTTCTATATTTAAGATTTGGGTAATTGATGTTCAGCATTCTAACTCTTCAGGAAGTGCTATGGTGACTCTACATCCTAGTTTTCCCTGGACACTTGAGTTTATACTTGTCCCTGCACAATTATTTCTAGTCAACCTGTCTGCTTTCATAAGCATCCTTTGGATGATAATTGTGTTCACTTTACCTGTTCCTTGTTTTACTTATACCTGTGTAATGTTAATTTCTAATTCTTTCACTAAAGATTTACCTGAAGCTATCTTCAGTATTTTCCAAGGATTTTAGCACATTCAGAAATAGTAGAGCAGGGCGAGGCATGGTGGGTCATGCCTGTAATGCCAGCACTTTGGGAGGCTGAGGCAGGGTATCACCTGAGGTCAGGAGTTCGAGACCAGCCTGGCCAAGACGGTGAAACCCTGTCTCTACTAAAAATACAAAAATTAGCTAGGTGTGATGGTGTGTACCTGTAATTCCAGCTACTTGGGAGGCTGACAGTATGTTTAGTATTTTTAAAGTAAAATTTGTTCCACGGATTGATAACTTACACTTTTTTCTTTTTATAGCACTTTGCTTATAGTTGACCCTACTGGAGAGGAGGAACATCTGGCAACAGGAACCTTAACAATAGTAATGGATGAGGAAGGCAAGCTCTGTTGTCTTCACAAACCAGGCATGTTCCTGCCACTTCAGTCCTAAACATATGTAGATGAAAACTCAGTGTGAGCCTTAAATTAGGGAGGGCCAAATGGAATATGGGATATTTCATTTACCTAATTTAAGTTTACTGTAGTTTCTTAGCTACCTCAAATTTTCTTCCATCTTAATGGTATATGTCAGTGATTCTTAAACTTAAGACATACATTAGAATCACTTGGAGGTCTTGTGAAACTAACTTGCAGATCTTGAGACTGTACCCTGATTTATGTTATCCAATTTTTTTGTTTCATAATTTGATATGACATTAATGTTTTTTGAAAAGCAGTGATAGATTAAAAGTATTGGCAAAATCATTTTTCAGGTGGAAGCGGGCTAACTGGAGCTAAACTTCAGGACTGCATGAGCCGAGCAGTTACAAGACACAAAGAAGTTAAAAAATTGATGGATGAAGTAATTAAGAGTATGAAACCCAAATAAATAGCCACTTTTCAAAACAGATTTGTAAAAATTGTATTTGTTAACACTGTGCACAAACATTTTATACTAAATAAATATCAAACTACATTCTTCCGAAAGATGTTTCTATTATTTCTTAGGTCACTTCCATATAATGTATAGTGAAACCATTTTTAAAAAGCAATGACTTAGGCAAACCAACCCTAGTTTGTTAAACCATTTCCCTGTTTTTATTTAAAAATGATAAGGTTGTGCTTCTGTATAAAGTTTGTACATCTAGCAATGTAAAATACTGACACATTAAAAAAACAAAAAGTAGAAACTCAATCCTTTTGATTCAATGCTCTTGTGTTTTTAAAAAAGGAACAAAAAATAATGCAAGACTCAGAATTTTGGAGTGGTTGGCGTGCCTCTCTTCATTTTACTTTTTGACTGGCTGCCTGTATGCCGATGACGGTGTAGCTGAGCTGTTTGTGCTGCTGCTGCTGCCATAGCCATTTGATGCTGCAAGAATCGCAACTGCTGCAAAAGGGAGGGAGAAAATCGAGTTATGTTAAATGCAGGCCGGTGTGGAAAGGTGCTTTTCCTGAGAGTGACGAAACAACACAACTGAAAAAGGGAGAAAGCACCAAGATAACAAAAAGGGACTATACCACATTGAGACAATGCACAGTCAAACAGCACCAGTGGCACAGAAGCCTGCTGAGGGCTTTAAAAATGATTCTTGGCAAACTTCAAAATTATTTGTTACTTTGCCCTGCCAGTCTATATTGTAGTAACTCAGCAACTTCAGTTACCATTTTGTTGTATAATGATAGTTTATAGCAATATAAAACAACCCTGAATATCAAGATAGTCAACTATAATATGCTGACTTTCCTTCCTAAAATGATGGTATAACATTTTTCTAAATAAACAGGTATGACATTTACTAATAGGAACACTTTTCTGCAATAAAATATTAGAAAGTTAACAATTGGCACTTACAACTGTCTATTTCAAAATACACTGCATACTAGAAAAATGTATGTTAATGTGCCACCAGCACTTCATGAAAAATTTTAAGAGTATGGCTTAAATGTACAAAATATATTCAGTGCTCCAAGTTGACTGGCTAAAATGTCAAGACTTTTAAATAAAATTTGCTAAATTATTTACCAATTACTGTACAGTCTTAAAAGACAGTAAAATAAAACTAAAGCAAGTTATTTTGAGGTACTTTTGGAGCTGAGTATCTTTAAAAATGTAATCAGAGTGAAGTTGCTGGATTACTTGTATCTGTTGCTGCTGCTGTTGAAAGGCAGAGGAGAGCTGGAATCTCTGCTGAGGAAGGCTTTGCTCAGGTCTGTTCTCGGCAGAGCCAAGCTGAGACAACACTACAGAGAGGAGAAGGGGAAAGCAGGCCAGTCAAAAAGTTTGAAGGCTACCAGGGTTAGAAAAGGACAACACAGAAAATGAAATAATAGAAAAGTTAGCAGTACGATTAATCTTAAGTATCAAATCATAGACATTTCAGAATAAATTTAGTATATGGTCTCCTGTTAGTTGGGGGTACCACTGATTATGGAACTTTCTGGACACAGAGAAGGGAGTGCATTATGTGTCAAAGCACTGAACCCCTCTTGCATCTGTATAAAATTTGATACTGGTGCTATTTTGTTTAGAAGAGTACATTATTTTGGAAATATAACCAACAGTAGGAGAAGGGAGATGGAAGAAATCCAAACTATCGTAACAACAAAGCTGGTAGACAGACAATTGCTTTAAACAAAAGATGCTGCAATGAATATCAGACTACTCTATTAACAACAGAGGTGATGAACTGAGACTGAGCATTGTTTGTTATTTTTTGAGCTGAGTGGAACCACAGTAATCAGTTCAACACTTATTTTACATATGAGGAAGTTTGAAGGCCAACATGATTTAAGTGACTTGGACTCAAATTATGGCAATCTGTGGCTAGGAACATTCTCATGACTTTTCAGACTAGAGTTGTCACTAAATTATACTAGAGCTATTTTCGGAAATTCACAACTGGGCTGATAAAGGTATATAATTACATAAACTTCTCTTTGGAAATTCACTACCTCTGAGTTGGAACTTTATATGTAAGGATTACTTACTTCCAAAATAAAGATTATTCTAAAAGACTTCTAAAGGCATAGTAAGCCCACAGTGATAAGATATTGACAACACAGTCACTCATTCAATCCTCAAACTCTTACAGCTTTCTTATACATGTGGCTTACTCTTTTAATTAAGTATAAAGTTAGAATTATCTTCAACTGACAGGAATCATTAAGAGTAATCTTTAGTTCACCATTTACTGCTGGGAAGTGTTGAGAAGTTAATCTTTTCTTAAATGACAATAGTGGCTTACATAAGTTATGCTATTGTTCATTAAGACTTAAAGTCATTTATGCAACTACAAATTACCAGAATGAAACAAAAGATTATGCAATCTAGAAAAATTCAGTCTTAACCCAGGAAAACGAAAAAGTTATTAATTAACATAACTACTGGCAAACACTGAAAACAGCTCTGGTAACCTAGTAAAGTGGATAACTATTAAATTTTGCCAGTAAACTGTAACATAAGGAAAACACAACTGTGGTAATTATGTTAAGTCAAAGCTCTTTTAATTAATGCACTATCAAATTAATGAAAAAAATCTCAGCCATTAATCAATTTAATAGTTCACACATTATAGCTTTACTTTTTCCTGTTTACTGGTTGCAAGGGAAGGAAAAGAAAATAAGTGGTGAGATCCCAAATAGATTGAATATGTTTAGTAAATTCAGCATATAAAGTTATGAAGATACCTACCAGCTGCCTGTGACTGCATAAAACTTCCTACTCCAGTAAGGTTAATAACAGCAGCTTGCTGAGCAGATAAGGCCTGTTCTTGACTGGTTGAACCTTGTTCAGAACCCTGAATAAAAAAATAAATGACTTGTACGAGAAAGAAAAACAAATTTGAGCTGGTGAAAATAAATCAGCATTTTTTCCGGTATGAAATAAAGCAGTATGAGACTAGTCTTGTAAAAAGAGTAACAAGGAAAATACTTCAAAGGTATTTAGAGTAAGCAACAATAAATTTATACCATTTGAACAAAGAAAACTTTCTTTTTCAGTGCATCTGTATTTATTGTTTGATGCTACCAAGATAATGCCTAAGGCTTTTATAAAGCTTCACCGAAACAATTTTTTAAAGCTTAAAACACTCTTTGTAACATAAACATAGTACTGGAACTTTATGTGTTTTGTTTTTTGTTTTTTGAGACGGAGTCTTGCTCTGTTGCCCAGGCTGGAGTGCAGTGGCGCAATCTGGGCTCACTGCAACCTCCGCCTTCTGGGTTCACGCCATTCTCCTGCCTCAGCCTCCCGAGTAGCTGGGACTATAGGTGCTTGCCACTACACCTGGCTAATTTTTTGTATTCTTTAGTAGAGATGGGGTTTCACTGTGTTCGCCAGGATGGTCTCCATCTCCTGACCTTGTAATCCGCCCGCCTCGGCCTCCTAAAGTGCTGGGATTACAGGCGTGAGCCACCGCGCCCGGCCGGCATATCGATTTTATAGGAAAAAATAAAATTGTCCTTATTTGCAAATGGCACAACTGTTTATACTGTAGAAAATCCTAAGCAATCTCCAAAACAGCTCCTAGAAATAGTAAGTTCAGTAAGAGGGCACAATACAAGATCAATATACAAAAATCAACACTATATATACTAGTAATTAACATGTGAAAACTGAAATTAAAAAAATACCATTCACAGTTGCTCAAAAAAACAGAGAAAAGCTTAGGTATTAATCTTAAGTCTAAGAAAACATATATGGGGCTTGTATACCAAAAACTACAAAACATTGATTTTGGTCTAGATAAGGACATACTATGTTCATGTACTGGAAGACTTACATCATAAAGACGGCAGTTCTTCTCCCAAACTGATCAACAAGCATAACTCAATTCTTTTAGAAATGCTGGCAAAGTTTTTGTAGATACAGACAAGATGACTTTAAAATTTATATGGAAAGGTAGAGAACCTACATTAACTACAATAATTTTGAAAAATGGTATGGCAGAAAACACTGCCCAATTTTAAGACACTACAATGAAGAAGACAGTGTGGTACTGGCTGAAGGACAGACACATAGATTAATGAAACAGAACAGGGAACCTAGGAATAAACCCACCCAAACAGACCCAACAGACTTTTAACAAATGTGCAGAAGTAATTCAATTCAGAAAGGATAGCTGTTTTTTTTGTTGTTGTTTTCAGCAAATGGTGTTGAAGCAATTGGATATTGATAGGAAAACAAAAACAAAAACATGGACCTAAGTTGCACACCTTGTATAGAAATTAACTGAAAATGAATCATGGATTCAAAATAAGAAACTATAAAACTGTTAGAAAAAAACACAGAAGAAAATCTTTGGGACCTAGGGCTAGGTAAAGAGTTCTGAGACATGACAACTACAGCATATTCCATAAAGGAAAGATACTGTCAACGTGGACTTCAGCAAAATTAAAAACTTTTGCTCTGCAAAAGACATCCTTTGAACATTTCAGTATATAATGGCAAGCCAAACATTCAAAAGATACATTTATCTTGAGGGGATCTCCCTGGATATAAAAAGAGATTGGACAAAAGAGCACAGAGCCGAAAGGTTCTATTATTGAATTTGGAACCCAGTTCATGAAATGAACAACAGAATAAGGCAGACCACATCACCACCATAATGGAACTATGATAAAACAAACAAAAAAAACTACAGATGATATCAATTTCCCCCCGAAGCACTCCACAAACTTAAAGTAGACTGTAAGCCACCACCGCAAATGGAATATTCAAACAAGGAGGAATAATGATTAAACAAACATCCTGAAGAAAAACAAATACTAAGAAATAAAAGGACTCAGGCTAAAACTAAAAGGATGAAAAAAGATGTACTAAGCTAATATTAATCAAAAGAAAGAAACAAGAAATATTACCAGAGATAAAGGTGGTCATTTATTAATGATAAGGGGTAAATTAATCAAGGATGTAACAATCCTAAATGCATATGCACCTAACAATATGGGCTCAAAACACAACCTTTAGCAAAAGGAGAAATAGAAATTTCCAGTTTTGGTTGAAGACTTCAACACTTCTCACAGTAACTGATAAAACATGGAGAAAGAAAAGGATATAGAAGGCCTGAATGATGCCATCAAATGCCTTGCTCTAATACAGAACACTCCTAACAGCAGAATACACATTTTTTTCAAGCATATATGGAGTATTCATCAAGACAGATCACGTTCTCAAGCATTAAACAAACCTCAACAAACTTAAAAGAACGAAAAATATGTTTTCAGACCACAGTGGATTTAAACTAGAAATCAACTGCAGAAAGATATTTGGAAAATTCCCAAGTATTTGGAAATCAAACATATCTAAATAATTCATTTAAGAGGGATCCATAAGACAGAAAATTCTATGGAACAAAATGAAGGCACAGCATATCAAAATTTGTGGAAAGTGGCTTAAGCAGTACTGAGAAGGAAATGTATAACATTAAATGTTTATTTTAGAAAAGAATGACCTCCATAATCTAAGCTTCCACTTATGAAACTACAAACTATCATCCAAGAAAACATTCCAGAAATAAAGAAGTGACTCTACACATTAAAAGGATCCACAGGAAAAACATGGAAAAATCAATTCTGACACATACACCAGTGAAAATATTAGACAAACATTCAGGGCCTCTAGACAAACTGCTTAAATAAACTTACAAGAGCAAGATAATTAGACTGGCATCAGATTTCTCAAAAACATACAAAGCAAGTCAACAGTAGGAAGCATTTTTAATAAATTTAAAGGTGACCTAAAACTAGAGAACATTTAGAAGAAAGCAAGTGAAAATGCTTCAGGACATTGGATTTGGCAATGATCTTCAATATGATACCAAAAGCACAGGCAAGAAAAGTAAAAAGAGAAAATGAACTACATTAAAATTTTAAAAACTTCTGTGCAATGGATGCAATCATGTGAAAAGACAACAAATGGGAGAAAATATCTGCAAATCAAACATCTGACATATGTGTATATGAAGAATGAAGAACTCCTACAATCCAACAACAAAAATTAATCTGATAAAAAAAATGGGCAAGGGACCCGAATAGACTTTTCTCCAAAGATGATATACAAATGGCCAACATGCATATGAAAAGATGCTCCACACCACTAATCATTACGGAAATGCAAATCAAAACACAATGAGATTATTACCTCACACCCATTAGGATGGCTGCTAAAAAAAAAATCCCCGAAGACCCAACCACCACCAGCAAATAACAAGAGTTGGCAAGGATTTGGACAAATTGAGATCTTTGTATGTTGTTGATGGGAATTAGGTAAAATGGTACAGTCACTATGGAAAACAGTATGATGCTTCTTAAAAAATTAAAAATCACCATATGAACCAACAATCCAACTTCTGGGTATATATCCAAAAGAGCCAAAGACGGTCTCAAAGAGATCTGTATACTCACATTCACACTAGCATTATTTACAATAGCCAAGAGTTGGAAGGTACCCAAGTATCCATCAGTGGATGAATGGATAAACAAAATATGGTATATACAAGTACTATTCACCATGAAAAAGGAAGGTGATTCTGACACATGCTATAACACATGAATGAACCTTGAAGACTTTATGCTAAGTGAAGTAAGTCAGACACAAAAGGACAAATAACTACATGACTGCACTTATATGAGGTATCTTGAATAGTCAAACTCATAATAACATAAAGTTGAATAGTGGCTGAGGGGAGGAGTTGTTGTTATTTACCGGATATAGTTTCAGTTTTGCAAGATGAAAAAGTTCTATAATAGAAATCTGTTGCACAACAATGTGAATACACTTAACACTCCTGAATTGCACACTTAGGAATTTAAAACGGTAAATTTTGGCCAGGTGCGGTGGCTCACGTCTGTAATCCCAGCATTTTGGGAGGCCGAGGTGGTGGATCACAAGGTCACGAGACCAAGACCATCCTAACACGGTGAAACGTCGGGTGTGGTGGCACGCGTCTGTAGCCCCAGCTACTTGGGAGGCTGAGGCAGGAGAATCGCTTGAACCCAGGAGGTGGAGGTTGGAGTGAGCCAAGATCGCACCACTGCACTCCAGCCTGGGCAACGGCGCGTGGCTCCGTCTCAAAAAATAAAAAAAAGTTAAAATGGTAAATTTTATGTGTATTGAAAAATTATTTTTTTTAAAGAAAATCAAAGATTTTATACCTAGCCAAGCAATCTTTAATGTGTTCAGAATGAAAAAACAGTAAGTTTTTAATGTGCCCTTCCTGAGGACTCTATTAGAGGATGAGCTTTATCCAACCAAGACCTGACTGTGGAAAATTGGGCAAAAGGATTAATGGTGAATATTTCATATAATTTGTGAGATAGAGAAACTCTGGATGTGGGACCCAGGAATCAGTATTTTTAAATTTCCCAGATGACTCCAGTGTACCCAAAGTTTAGAAACACTTGTACTTCCTTCTTCTACTGTCATTTATTGCAATTCTTATTCAATTTCATTCTCTTTGGCAGTGTAAATGTTTGTTTTTGTCTGTGTTCCCACTGCCCTACATTTTATAATAATAGGGATATCTTTATTCCAATAGTAACACAATCCTAAAAACAGAAAGATAATGATGGGGTAGAAAATACATGAGCGATAGGGACAGAAAGACCTAGGTTTGAATCTCTGACTCTGCCACTCACTGTATGGCTATGAGCAAGCCATTTACCTGAATCTCAATCATCTATGCAAGATGCAGATGATATCATCTATTCAGTATGGTATGACTGTTTTATTAGGAATACGTGCCCAATAGCTGATTGCTACTATTGTTAACAAAAACAGTACAGGAAATGTTTACACTAACAAAGCACATGAAGTATGCTTGGAATATACCAAAAAATGTTATAAATTCGATGTAAAAGCATATGGAAGGCTACAAAACCCATACCTGCTCCCCTGGCTGTTGAGGACTAGCAGTTGTGGGCTGCTGAGGTTGTTGTGGTGTAAACTGGGAGAGCTGCTGTTGCTGCTGCTGCAGAGTGTTAAAAATAAGTGAACCACCTGGAAGCTATTAAGAATTTAAACAAAAATTAACCAATCTCATATGATTTTATATCAAATATTTAAATTTCTTTATTCTACAAATATTTTTGGATCATTTGCTATGTGTCACTCTTATAGTTGAGGAAACAGGTGAACAAAAAAAAAGTTGGTTGCCCTTAAAATAAAGACCTATTTAGATACAATTTTAAAATCCTATTACTTTGGGCTCTCAAGTATGTTAATACCCTTAAACATAAATTTTTCTGCTTCAAGCTAGTAGTTAGCTATCCCAATTCACATGCTATTTTTTATTTCACTCTTTTTATACATCAATACGAAAGAGCATTAAATACATTAGAAAGTACAAACAAACAGCTTATGAATCAGAAATGTATACTGTGAAAAGCCACCCCTCATAAATTGGTTCTAGTTTTGACAAAAACACAAAAATACTATACAAGATCTTTTATATAACACAGTGAGGAATTTCAAAGTTGAAAAAAAAGTGCATTTAGTTGTCCATATTTATTTTGGAAACCACTACTTTCTCTTTCATTCAAATCTAATTCGAATTTAATTAATCCAAATATAAAAACAATTTTTAAAGAAGCACTCAGAAAACTCCAGGTTAAAAAGGAAAACAGTGTTTGTCAAATGCACCAAAAAACAAATAGTTTTTCCATTTTAAGCTATAGGGGTTTATATATGGACCACTTTGAGGTCCTTAGGAGAATGTCCAAGAAAATACCAAATACAGAACTCTTAGGTTCTATATAGTCCAAAAAAAAAAAAAAAAAAAAATCCTTGGGTCAAAATATCTATCTATATCCATCACAGCTCATCATTAGGTAAACATGGATACAGCACAGATCAAATGTTCCTTCCTCAATCAGTGTATAGTAAATGTAGAAATATATAATAAACTAAAGGATTTCCATTCCTGTTAACACTGAGACTGATCCCTAAGAAAACTTCAACAGCAATATACCAGAAGGTAGGCTAAATAAACAAATGCAATTTGTGGGCTTGTCCATACTATAAGTATATTGGTCTGCAATTAGTCTGCAAACATACTGCATCGTGTATAGGAAATAAGTTTTAAATTTTAGCTCTAATGAGAATTTCCTGATCTGTTAATCCTGAATACCAGGGTGGCTGATCTGTTATTGTTATTTCCCATCAATCCATAGCTCTACTACATTACATATCCAGATCTTTATATTCACGTCTATCCATTTTCCAAACTACTAGCTTAAAGCTTACTCCTTCTTTAAATTAGAGGACCTAGCATAACACCAGGAATGTTGTAAATTCACCCCCTCTTTTTTTTTCTTTTGAGACAGGATCTCACTCTGTTGTCTAGGCCGGAATGCAGTGGCGCAATGTCAGCTCACTGCAGCCTCGACTTCCTGGCCTTAAGTGATTCTCTGACCTCAGCCTCTCGAGTAGCGGGGATTACAGATGCATGCTACCATGCTTGGCTAATTTTTTGTAGTGATGGGCTTTTACCATACTGCCCAGGCTGGTCTCGAACTCCTGAGCTCAAGCAATCCTCCCACCTGGGTCTCCCAAAGTGGTGGGATTCTAGGTGTGAGCCACCGCGTACTGCACACATACCTATTTTTTAAATCTCCTTCAAGCACAAAAACCAGTATTACTTCTATGCATACAAAAAACATCTGTTGGGAAAGCAATTATTTTCTAAATATGTCCACTATTATTATTGTAGCGAAGTATCCTCCTTGGTAGGTGCAAATTCTCCCCACTGGCACAGCTAGTTCTTAATTAGGCAGGGCTACTGGAGCCAAAGTGTGGTATATAGGGTACTGATTCTTCCTTTTTATCCACTTGATCATACAAAGGTAGCAATAATAACCACACCCTTAGAAGAATCTAAACAGACCTCAGAATTTCAAGTGCTAATACATATAGATATACATTGTTTAGAAAAAAATTCAATGTACAAACAATTTAATCAAAAGCAGGATTTCAGGTTTACCTGGAGTAGATTTAAGGGCCTGAGACTTGAAGTATTTTTTAAACCAAATGGAACACCTGTTAAATAAAACTCATGGTTATAACAGAATTGGAAATTTATTACACATGAAAATAATTTATACTTTAGTATATATAAGTACAATAATTTTATGTACTCTCTGCATAGATGTGCGTATTTTCCATACTTCAGAAATATCAATACTGAGATTTTATTCAAAGTTGTGAAGCACCAGGTGTACATTATAGTCTATCTTTCAGAAACTGGGACTTCTTTTTCATTCTTCTGACTGTTGACTGAACAAACAGTAATCAAGAATTATGTGAACACCATGAATATAACAAAACTATCACTGCTGTGCAAATACATTCCAGGTACTGGCATCTACTTACATTTCTCAGTGTTACATAGTATACTAAAATAATCATATCTTTAAGAACTGGTATGCTCTATGCTATTTTTTTTTTTAACTACAAATGTTAATCAGAATGCTAAAGAATGTTGCAATTTGTGTATAAGATCAAAACTGAGAGTCAGGAAACAGTGCTCTGTTAATTCTAAACATAATCCTAAAAAATCTGTTACATAACACAGAGCATTATCTTAAAGTTGGGGGTGACAAACTTTTTCAGTAAAGGGCCATCATGTAGGCTTTGTGAGCACAAATGGCCTCTGCTGCATTTTCTTTTCACAATCCTTTAAAAATGTAGTAACCATTCCTAGCTTAGGCTGTGTGCTGTAGTGTGCTGATCCTGGTCTCACGATATGCAAATATTTTGCTAACAAAATACACCAATCTGAACACTATTTAAAAATGTATCTAGTTCTCTATCAGATCATATTTTTAAAAAAAGATTTAAGGCAAGAAATGCACATGTAATATTAGCAAAGCCTTGTATAAGAAACTGAAATTTGGCAAAAATATCCCTTTCTGGAAAAATTCTCATTTAAGAAAATGGCTTAACCCCCATTTAAAACTGGATGACATCTGTATAATGCCTTCTAGCTTACCAAAGTCACTTTCATACTTCATTTATTTCTCTTAAGTACCAACTGAAGATATTTTTATTCCCACTTTAGAGCGAACTGAACTGAGGCTAAGGGGGAAAAATTTAGTGACTTCTGTAAAGCCCCAGTTTAGCAAGTGAAGCCACATGTAACTGGTACAACTAGCAGTTACATGTAAATATCCTAAATTCAGGATGTGAAGTCCATTTCAGGACTTCTGGCACTAAAGCACACTTATGCTTATTAAAATAAGAACACTAGGCCGGGGGTGGTGGCTCACACCTGTAATCCCAGCACTTTGGGAGGCTGAGGCAGGCGGATCACGAGGTCAGGAGATCGAGACCATCCTGGCTAACATGGTGAAACCCCGTCTCTACTAAAAATACAAAAAAAATTAGCCAGGCGTGGTGGCGGGCGCCTGAGGTGGGAGAATGGCGTTAACCTGGGAGGCGGCGGAGCTTGCAGTGAGCGGAGATTGCGCCACTGCACTCCAGCCTGGGCGACAGAGCGAGACTCTGTCTCCAAAAACAAAACAAAACAAAAAAATAACAGCACTAGCTAGAATTAGGAAATTACAGCAACATGTTAATATGTTTAATTATATTTTCTGGGTTCCCTTTCTCATAACTAAGAAAGTTTTTAATGAATTTTTCCACATTGTTTTTCCTATTAAATTTTTCCTCAAGTGAAACTGAATTGTTTCAAGATATTATAATACATTCTTTTAAAGAGCATCAAAAAAATAAGCACAAGTTATTATTATAACTGTTTTCCTGTACAGGTAATAACTACTCTTCGACAGAGCGAGACTCCGTCTCAAAAAAAAAAGAATGCTTATTATGTCTCAGGCACAGTTTAAGCACATAATCTGTATTATATTTCATTTAATCCTCATGACTATAAGGTAAGTTATTATTGCTATTTCCATTTTATTTATGAGGAAAATTAGACACAAAGGTAACTTTCTCAATATTACACAAACGATAAGTTGTACACCTGGGATTCAAGCTGAGGTAGTTTGGCTCCAGAATCCAGGCTCTTAACTGCGATGCAGATGCCTCTTGTGCACAATGTGTATTTTCAAAATACATTAATATTCCCTGGAATATAACTACAATGACAATAAGGCTACCAAAATTAATTCTATTATTTGGAAAGCAAAAGAAACATTTGCACAGACTCACAGGCTTACCAAGTTTTCCAAAGTTGATTGCTAGATGGCTTTTAATTCAAATGCCAGAACTTTAAAGGCTTTTGAAATGAAACACATGTGATACTATACTTCATGAAATAATGACATTAAATGCCTTTAGCATCATTCTTAAAATTACATTTTTACTTTAGCATATACTTTAATTTTTTTTTTTTTTTTAGAGGTTATTATTTCCAACATTCTGACCTGCTTGAGAAGCTGCCTGCATTGCACTGGGCAATGCATTTGGTAGCAGACCTCCTGAGGGTAGAAGGCCGCTCAGGTTTATTCCTGCAGGAGTTATGGCACCTGTGTTACAGCCCAGCATGGGGTTTGAACCACTCATCAAAGCCTGGGCCCCACTGCAGGAGAATAAGACAAAGCATTAAACTTCACTGTAAAAGGAAAAAAGTCAGCCACATAATTCCTCAGATTAAAAAACAAAACTACTAAGCAAACACAACTAGCTATTTATTGGTATTAAATATCAAAGGCAATGCAAAAGATAAACAGGAAATTCTAAGCTGCTGTCAAGATGAAGTATCAAAAAACAAAAACAATAAGATGAGGTATCATCTTAGTGCAGTTAACAGATATATTATTTAAAATTAAAACACACATGGTCAGGCAACTTCTGTCCATATTTAAACTATTGCCTTTCAGTCTGAGTAATAGGCAGTTTGTTCTTCATTTCACAAATTTAGAATTTTAGATGGTGAAACTATCTTTAAAAAAAAAAAAATCAGAACATCAATGCAAACTTACCAAACAGAGCCCACTACATTGATGAAGTTAAGTCCAGCAGAGTTTGCCATGACCTGGGTGGCCGTGGTTCCTGGAGTTATAGATGTTACCATGGTGGAAAGAGGAATGGTTGTTACAGGCATTGCCTGGCTCAGAGACCTTTGCTGCTGAGCAAACTGAGTTAACAAAGTGGGCTGAGGGGTGAAGCCTGAATCTTGGGGAGTAGGGGTAGCTGAAGGGGTACTAGGAGTTGAGCTCTGAGCATCAGGAGGGTGTGGGGTCGATGAAGGGGTTGGTGTAGGAGTAGATGGCTTAGGAGTTCCAGATCCTGCTCATTGAGAAAAATAAAAATTGCTAGTTTGTTATAAATGGCCAGTCCTTTTAAAATAAGGTTAATGGAATCTTACTTAGCACTGACAATTTGTTCTAGTTTTTTTTTTTAAAAGCAGTTAACTGCAAGTGTTAATTTCTAAACATGATACATGAGTGTTGCTACACTCAATTACAATTAAGGATGCAGTATATCACCTAAAAAGCCCATTAAAGATGCTATTGCAGTAACAGTAAAAATATACAGTTATATTCTACCACAATACCCATTTAAAAGTTAGTTTCCTACATGCTGCCTTTGGCCTAAAAAGTTCAAAAGGAATTCAAATTAATTTATTATTTACGATTTACTAATTCATGACTTCATTTAAAAATATTGCTTATTTAGTGTAAAAGTCTGAGATAAACTGTGAACATATTTAATAAGTTACATATGGTTAACAATCATATTTGGCACCTAAATATACATGTTTAATTCCTAACACATCAAGTTTATCCTGACAAACAAATTTACAAAAAACAGTAATAAAGTAAATGTCTGATAGATAATACTGCATCTTTAACAGTAACTGTGTACTTCTGTTTAAATGTAGAATGTATAGAAAATCTGTTGTGAATGAAGTATGCACAGTTTATCAATTTTTTAAAAAACAAAAACAAAAAACAAAAACCAAAAAAGTAAAACCAAAAGCTCTTGAGGTGTTTTCTTTTTTAGCTTTCATGTCCTGCAGAAAGAAAGGAAAGAAATGTGAATGTCCAGAAGCTGTCACTCAACCCTTACTTAAAGTAACAACTGTGTGCAGTAGATTACCATAATCCATACCCACAACATAAGAAGTGTGAATAAGACTTTCAGAAAATTTATATATTTTTCTTTGTGCAAAACAAGAAGGCAGAAAAATTACACCTTTTGAGCTATCAAGATGAAGATGTTTATATCTAATGCGAAGACCACCCTATCACTGTGCAGTGTACTAAAACTTTCAGCATATATTAGCTATCTACAAAAAATCTAAAAAACTGGAATGACTTTTTCCCCCAAATTGGTACTTTCAGATATTTACTAATTTGAAGAAATTCTCCCAAACTAATGCTAACATTCTTGTATAACTCTTCTTGATGTTAAAAAAAAAAGTATTCAGTAGTAAAAATTACATTTCAGTATCTTCAGAATAATGCTTTATGATCATCATCACATTTTAGTAACTGACAACAATTTATAAAAGAGTGTAGGAGTGTTTTTGAAATATTGTTTTTCAGTTTATTGTATCACCACCTTGGAACTAGTTGACTTCTTACATATACACAAAGATAGGACCTGCAGCAACAACTCTTATGACATTTTTTTCATATCAGCCACACAATTTACATAAATATGTAAAATGATCCTAGGGTACACTGGAATAAAAAATATTTTGAAATCTTATTGCCACATGTAACTACCAGGTTATTTTTTTAAGGAGATGTGTAGGTTATAAGTCTATAAGAAAGGTATACGCAGAATGCATACATAGATACAGAAAAACAAGTACAATTACAGTAGAGACATAATACATACAATCAACAAGAGCTCTGCCTGAAGCTTCTAGCAACTTATACATTTTGGGTACACAGTACATTCAGATATCACTACTTCACAAGTTGAAAAAAGCTGTCTTAAGAAACACTAATGCAAAAGCTTATGAAGATTTAATGAAGAATTTAAGTTATGACTCACTTTGTGATGAGCTGGCAGGTGATAGGGCAGCTGGAGAAAGCATGCTAACTTGATTGAGATCCACAGATGATTTCCGAGGAATACTTGATGGCTTCGAAGAAGGAGGAGGAGTTGGAGATTTGAGAAAGCTGCTTGTCTGTTGTGGTGTAAAATAGTTACCTAGAAGAACATAAAAGTTATTTCCTAAATTTATAATTCAAAATTCTGTGAACTATAGAAATCAAAATGGGGCAAAGTTTTAAAAAGAGATTAGGACTCTATAATGTTTGTTATTCTAGACTGCAAAAAACTAAGAAATGTAATACCTGAGGAACTATTTCCTGAGCTTGAGGGCAGTTTGATTGGCGGGGGTCGATGTTTTACGCCCTTCCCCAATACTGAAGACTGAACTGACACAGTTTCAGTTTGCTAAAAGACAGTGACATTAAGCATACTTGTTAAAATTAATCCTGCTATAAACCCCACATGAAATGTATATTTAACTTCATAGTTTCTTAAATAAAATTAGTACTGCTATAAATCCCAGATTTTTAACTCTGCAAAGTGCTCTCAGTGGTTACAGATTGAATACTGTATGTATTACAAAGAAAATTTCACATGAGACCCATGAAATATATATTACAGCACACATAAAGAATGAGGAAAAGATTTCTGAGTAATAGGGTGGGAAGTGAGAGTTTTAGGGAGAAAGGCAGAGGAGTAAGATGAAAGCAAAGCTTCCACCCTTCCATACCTATCTATTAAAGGAAAATAATAGCTGTTGAAGCCAAATGACTAGAACACAGGTGTTTATTATAATTTTCCTTTTATCTTTGTGTACATTTAAAAATTATGTCATAAAGAAATTTTAAAAAAAGGTAAAAGTAAAAACAAAACTAAATAATACTGCTGCTCCTCAAAAAATGATTCTTTTTTTTTTTTTTTTAGATGGATTCTCGCTCGATTGCCCAGACTGGAGTGCAGTGGTGCTATCTCGGCTCACTGTAACCTCCACCTCCAGGGTTCAAAAGATTCTCCTGTCTCAGCTTCCCGAATGGCTGGGATTACAGGTGTGCGCCACCATGCCCAGCTAATTTTTGTATTTTTAGTAGATATGGGGTTTCACCATATTGGTCAGGCTGGTCTCAAACTCCCGACCTCAGGTGATCCACCCACCTCAGCCTCCCAAAGTGTTGGGATTACAGGCATGAGCCACTGTGCCCAGCCTCAAAAAATGATTCTTAACATTTCTCAGATTACTTGTGAAACAACTGGGCACAAAGAAGTAACATTAACGAAACACACTTCTGTTTCTTTCCCTGGAGAAACCTGACTCAGACTGGCTGAGCCACTGGAGCTGTGTGACATCTTGACCGGACATTTGGCTTCATTCTGGACTAATTCTTGGTACTGATTGACTACCCTAAAATATCAGGAGAAAACAGGTAAAGATTAGATAACCTGTTTTAAACACGAATTTATTTTATAGGAAATAATGACTATTAATGGCAAAAAGAAAGTTCTATCAATATAAAAATTAAAATTAGGTGATTTATCTTTGTGTTAAAAGTACATAATTTTTAAACTGTTCAATGACAAATTGTCCAAAACATTTTGCTAAATAACAATCTAAAGATATACTTTCAATATCTTATTTCTAATACAGAAATTGCAGGGATTACTTAAGTAATAAGCAGCCAAAGAAAATACTCAATTCCTTTCTTAGATTCTGATTAAAGTACTATCTAGAAATCATCTTCCTTAGCTACACTAGATATGTCTAAGTTTTCTTGTTTAAAACAAAACTATATTTTAAACATTTTTTTTTGTTTTCTTAATTCTATGAAAAAAAATCCTAGGTATTATAAACGTTGGAAAAATGCATTTAAGTTCCCCCAAAATCTCATCCCATGAAAAGAACCATTCTTAACAGTTTGGCGTATCACAAGCTTTCATTTTTCTAGAATCAATAAGATTTTAAAGTTGGAAAAGACCTTAGAGGTTTTACTGTCCAATGCCCTAATTTTACAACAGAGGCCCATAAATATTAAACAGTGTAAATATGGTTAATAGCATAACCAAAATCAATGTTTTTAACTCCTAGTAAAGTACTCTCTATCCTATAAGGATGAAAAATTTTTCATATCCATCCTGACCAAAATAGAGATGCAAATATTTTCACCTCTCGGCATCGGTCTTTGATCCAATAACGAACCTAAAATGTTTAAGGAAAAAAAAGGAGAGAAAAGTATTAGCTAAGAGTTGTCTTAAGAAGCCTTGGGATTACTTTTGAAATCTTCCATGTTTTAGTCACAATAATATAAACTGGTATTAAATCTACCAAGATATGGAAACAAAATTTTTTAATGCATTTACACATACGAAACAATGACGAAGTTTTGCATGCATTATGAAACAATGTGAATAATTTGGTTGATTTAATTAAGGGATATTTCTTTTGGCACAAAATTTATTTATTAAAACATAATCTGGGCTGAAAGTTACCAAGTGCTATATACCCTTACAACTATTGACCCTAAAGCAAAATCACTGAACTACCATGTGGAAAGGTCTTTGGCCTTCATCTCACTTTAACCTGTGATTTTAGAATTAAATGTCTACATAACAGATCCTTAGAATATATTTCAAACAAGGTATACATATTTATCACCGATTCAAATAAAATATCTTTAGCAAGTCTTTTTAAAGAGTTTGATATTTACGTAACTTCTTAACAGATTAAAATAGTTTATTTTTTAATTACCAATTTGAATGATCATCTGTGGAGGAGCTGAAATATAAAATGTAAAAAAAAGCTTAGTTAATGCAGCTCAAACTTCAACTCCATAGTTTATTCAATAAAATATGAGTACGGAAGAATGACTGGAAAATAATAAATCATGCAGCTACTCTGACACAAAGGTAAAAAATTCAATTCTCTTCCTGTCAAACAAATTAGTCATTTGGCTCTATAGACCAATTTTTTCACAAAAGAACATGTATCACCCTTGTGTTCTACAAAAATAAGTTAATAAATTAAAAATGGCCAATATATGTTGCCTTTAAGTTGAAGATTTTTTTAAATATAAGTAATCAATATTGGGTACTATATTCACTACCTGGGTGATGGGATAAGTAGACACCCACACCTTAGCATCATACAATATACCTCTGTAACAAACCTGCACACATAACCCCTATAGCTAAAATAAAAATAAAGAAAAAAAAAATGGCTTCCTCAGAAATGCATGCTGAGGATTCAGAAATAAACTGTTATGATGTCTATAACTTTAAAAAAAAGAAGAAAATGCATGTAATCAAAACATCTGATCCTTTTACAACAATAAAAACTGGTCATGTGAAAAAAGAAGCTGAGGATTCCCTGTTATTTCCTTTCATTGACTTTTACCTAAATATTGGTGGGGTTGCTCTTTAAAATACACCTTTCTACTGTAGATTCAATTAGTATTTTGTGTAAGTAAAGGCTTTACAATTAACATAGACCTGGCCCCGTCCTTTTCTGCTGAGCTTTTTTCTTTTTTTCAAAACAGTATCAATTTGATTTAAAAAACCAAACATAGTAAAACAAAATAAAACTAAATACTGACAGTACCAAATATATGTAGTTCACACATTTTGGAAGATCATCTATATTTTTATGTATTAATATGTAGGGTCAATAACTACAATAAGCACTGAGTCTGTGTCCTTACATGCAGTGCCAAATACCAAGCATCTTTTTACATTTATGGTAAACTTGCTTCCTATTTAAACACACTATTGCCCAAACACTTCATGTTCACAGGTTAAAGTCCTAAGTGCCATAAATATATAAAGAAAGATATCACAGGAATAGCCTTCGAAACAAGCATAAAAATAATTATACCATAGGTTTTTTTGCTATTTAATAACTCTTGAGCAACACAGTAACTATGACTTAAGTTTACTTAGGTCTACTAATAAGTTATTAGGTCTACTAATAAGTTTACTTAGGTCTAACTAATAAATGAGTTCCAAAGAGAAATTTTTATTCATTAATGGCTCATCAGTAGTTACTAGATAAATTCTTGGTGCCTTATTTTTTTTTTTCAGTTACTTGTATTTAACAGAACTCACTGTGATGGAGACATCTGGCTGTCACTTTCTTCATCTGCTTTACATGGCTGTATTTTACCATAGTAAAGTGGATCTCCAAGCGACTGCAAGATGGTCAGCTTTGTTTTCTGATACTGAGTACCAGTTTCACATTCAAATACATAATCATCTTTTACGTCCTGAAAAACACATAGCACCTCAAATAAACATCTTCACAAGTAGGCAGGCATTAAGAATTAGTAAAAATTAGGAATAAATGATACAGTAACATGTATCTGACGATAGGAAGACATATGGTACTTAGGCTAAAAGATGTTTAAGTCTGCCTACCAGAATAAAGCACAGCATGGCTCTTTTCCTAAAAACTGTATGGGCACTCAGCATGCATTTAATAAAGCATTAACATACACTACGAAATATGAACTTATATGTAACAATATTAATACATCATTAAACACATTATTAGACATATTAATATACATACTGGAAATAATAACAATGAACATTAAACACTGTTCTCAGCACTCTACAGGGACTGCCTCAAGTAAGCTTCATCATATTTTTATGGTTGGCACTGTTATTATCTCCATATTAGAAGTCAGGGAATTAAGCAGAGAGGTTAAATGAATTGCCTAGGGTCACACAGGGAGTTAGCAGTCTGTCCCTAAGCTAGCACCCCGATCCTCATGCTGCCATGCCTGTTTATGCTCAGGAGGGCAGTACAGGATTATTTTTTACATGGTACTCTCGGAAGGAGAATTCTGATGGCATGTTTAATCAAGCTTAATATGGCAGAATTTCAGACTAGACATATGAATTGCAAATATTAAATAATATTAAAAGGATAGAACTTTCAAAAGCAGATCTGTTTCTATTTACCATTTGTCTGCTTTTGCTATCACACACACAAAACATCTCTCGTCATTTCACTCCTAGGGTTCACCTAATTTAAATATTATACCTATTTCTGTCTTTTTAAGATGTTATTATTCCAATTAGGAAACTTACAAAAACGTATCCTTAGAAGAATTTATTAATTTGAAACAAAACAAAACAGAACTACCAATATGCAAACCAAAAGTAAAAAAGAAGTTCTTCATTAAAATTGCTCTTTAAGGCCAGGCGCAGTGGCTCATGCCTGTAATACCAGCACTTTGGGAGGCCAAGGTGGGCGGATCACGTGAGATCGGGGGTTCGAGACCAGCCTGGCTAACATGGTGAAACCCCATCTCTACTAAAAATACAAAAATTAGCCAGGTATGGTGGCAGGTGCCTGTAATCCCAGCAACTCAGGAGGCTGAGGCAGGAGAATTGCGTGAACCTGGGAAGTGGAGGAGGTTGCAGTGAGCCACAATCACACCATTGCACTCCAGTCTGGGCGATAAGTGCCAAACTCCATCTCAAAAAAATAAAATAAAATAAATAAAAATAAAAAAAATTTAAAAACAAAAAATTGCTGTTTAAAATGCAAAGCATACTTTGATGAACAAAATAGTTGTTTCTTCATGTAATAAACTGAACTTCCAGAAAGTAATTTATAAAAGAAAAAAGGTCCCAAACTAATGGCAACTGCACTTTATGTTTAATAAATTCAGAGGCCAGATTAGAAATGGCATAATTAGAAACAGAGACAGGCAATGATTACTTACATGGGCTGGCCAGACTGTTGGCTGTGAGTCATCAGATTTGATAGACTTTTCTACTTTAGCATATTTCTCCACCTAAACAATCAAATCAAGAAATACCACATAAAATAGAATCCATATCAGATAAAATGGAATCAGTACTCTGATAAAAGAGAAGAAACTAAGTAACTCGACAATACAATATACTTGTTAGCGCAAGAATTCTTTAACCAGTACCAACTACTTACGCTTAAGTAGTTTAAAAGTCTTCTGATGTGTAAAAAACAACTTTAATAAAACCAAACTAATTAAATGTTAATAAACATAGCTGCTTTTCTAGACAGTGCCTCTTAATTTTTTTGTCCATAAGCTGGTGTTTTTTCCTTTAGAGCTTTTCCTTCAGGAAAACTGGAATGTCAGAGAGATAAGGATCAGGAGCTTTTCCTTTTGGCAAGGCTTTTCTTGAAATAAGAGCTGTCATGTAACAGTGGCAACAAAACTAAGGGAGACTATGGAAGGTAAAATGTTAAAGCTGATCAAATTTTTTGAACCTTTTCCACTTTCTAGTCAGACTTGACCATATATTCTGTACATGTCCTAGGTATCTGTGTGAGTCAAATGTTATTATCTTACTGGCAACTATGATCTTAAGAGTCATTTAGACTTATCTGGGGCACTTAATAAAAATACAGATTTACATGTCTGTCCTTAGAAATCCTAAGTACATAGATCTTGAGTAGGGCTTGAAATCTCTTATGTTTAACTGATATCCTAGGTGATTCTTCTGATTGAGCTAGACTGAGAAGCTTTGAGGGCAACTGCTACTCAATGTGTGGCCCATGGACCTCAGCATCACATAACCTAGGAGCTTGTGAGAACTGCATCTTATGCCTCAGACCACACTTGCTAAGTAGCAATCTACAATTTAACAAGCTCTCCAGGTGATTCCTAAGGACATTAAAGTATGGGAAGTACTCCAGCCTGTCCTCCAAAGCTAAACTCCACCCTTTAGTATTTATACTGAAATTCTATCCTCAGGCCATGTTCCTTGAAGAACTGCGCATAAGCTACCAACAGATAATATGGCTTACTTCCTTGAGTTGTATATACAGTCTACTGCTGTTTCTGGCTTTGTGCTTAGAATAATTTCTTTTTATAAAATCAGAAATAGTAAGAATAATGCATGTGCTAGCATGGAAAGGGTGCAACAGAAGAACAAATCTGAAAATAAAGAGTGAATATAAAAAAGAACAGAGGAGAAAGAAAAATAAAGGATCACTCATCAAAATATCCCTTTTCTGTCTTCAAGCATTCATATTCATGTATATTATGGATCAATAAAGAATACAACCCAATGTTCCTAATCTTGGTTACTTCTCTAGTGTTATTAATCTTTATTTTTTTAAATAGTATTATTAATCTTCAAATTTAACCACTTCAAGGAAAAAAGCACTATTAGGAAATTTTGATGAAATATTATGAAAACAAGAGAGATTTCACGTGATTATGTAATATACACTATATTTTTCCACATTTTAAAATTGTTTTGTTTACTATTCCTGCTCCAAACACAACTATATTAAGGGGTTATGTTTTTTCAACTTAATGTGAAAAAAGAACAATACACAGCTTCTAAAAATCATTTTTCAATGTTTTTTGAAACAAATCATATTGTTTTTAAAAAAAAGACTATGATCGCCCCTTTCTCTTTCCGGTTCTAGGCGCTTCGGGAGCCACGGCTTAAGGTGCAGACATGGCAAGTCCAAGAATCACACCACACACAACCAGTCCCGAAAATGGCACAGCAATGATATCAAGAAACCCCGATCACAAAGATACGAATCTCTTAAGGGGGTGGACCCCAAGTTCCTGAGGAACATGCGCTTTGCCAAGAGGCACAACAACAAGGGCCTAAAGAAGATGCAGGCCAACAGTGTCAAGGCCATAAGTGCATGTGCCAAGACTATCAAGGCCCTTGTAAAGCCCAAGGAGGTTAAGCCCAAGCTCCCAAAGGGTGTCAGCCGCAAGCTCGGTTGAGTTGCCTACATTGCCCATCCCAAGCTTGGGAAGCATGCTCATGCTCGCATTGCCAAGGGGCTCCGGCTCTGCCCACCAAAGGCCAAGGCCAATAATCAAACCAAGGTCCAGGCTGCAGCTCCAGCTTCAATTCCAGCTCAGGCTCCCAAAGGTGCCCAGACCCCTACAAAGGCTACAGAGTAGATATCTCTGTCTGCCAACGTGAGGACAGAAGGACTGGTGCGACCCCCCACCCCCGCCTCCGGGCTGCCATCTGCATGGGACTGGGGTCCTCCTGTGCTATTTGTACAAATAAACAATAAACCTGAGGCAGGGAAAAAAAAAAAAAAAAAAAAAAGAGTATGATCTAAATCACTTTGTTTTTAAAAGAAGTTTTTTGTTGTTGTTTTCTCAAGGTATAAGCAAACGAATGGTAAAACTTAGAAACTATATGAAAAAAAAAATTCATGAACCGACTTACATCTACTTCAGAAGGTATGGCCAAATTACAGGGACTCCGTTTCCACATATCTACACACTGAAAAATTAAAAACAATATAAATATACAGAAAAAATGCTAAATAAGACAGGTTTTTGGGCATAAGCTTCATTTAAAAAACATATACTTACATTTCCTGCTTTAGAAATTTTGAGGTCATAATGCTGACCTGCTTTTCTTTCCTTTCTTTTTTGTAAGAAATCAAGTAACCTCAGCTGAGGAGGAGGTGGACAATGAGACAGATCTTGCTGCCGATTCAGAGAGGATCTGGAATACCTCTTGAAACACCTGAAATGTTAAGAAATTTGAACTAAACAGCACTAATAAAAGCAGCTCGTAATATATGTGAGTTGAAACTAGTCACTGCTGAGTATGTACAAATCATGTTTATAGAACACTGCCACATGCCAAGCACAGTCCTAGGAACTAGGACTAGGTGAAATAAAAATGAGTAAGAAACAAAATTCCCATCACCACAGGCTATCAAGTCCAGAGGGGGAGGAGACATTCACAAGTAAACAGACAAAATAATTTCAGATTTCAGATACCAAGAAGCAGTAAGATAAAAAACAGAGTACCGTGGAGAATACAGGATAAGGAGGGCAACACTAGGGCAGGGAAGTGGGAGAGGGAGGGGAGGAAAAGAGCCTGAAAAAATGACATGTGAGCTGAGACAGGAATGATGAGAAGGAACTAGCTATGGAAAGATGAAGGTGAAGGGGATAATTTCCAGTTTCGGGTACAGGCATGTAAGACTCTGGAAGTTCCCACCTCATCCTAACAAGTAAAAAGCTGAATAAACATAAAAATTAACGATTCTTCTTAGATCCATCAAAGAGATGAGGTCACAAGAAAAACCACTGCCCCAAACTTGGAGAAACCAATAACGCAGACCATCATGGCTTGCTGAAGCAGAAACCCACTAGCACAAACCTCTTCAGGAACCAGTGCCAGGGTGGGGAACCTCAAGTATAACTGATGAACTGCTGGAGGCCTAGTGTGGACGTGTCTGAGAGATTCAAAACTCCAGGGGGATCTAGTCACTGGGAGCCCCCACACTTTTGGGGGTTTTATCTCCAGGAGCTCAAAGAGGTTCTCACAGTGACTACTGGGGAAAAATTCCCTCATGTTTCCCATGGAGGGTGGGGAAAAGAAAATATTCTGAAAGATCAAGGAATGAGTATTTGAAGACACATTTTTAAAAGATGCCAAGGGAGGAATAAGCTTGGTTTGTTTCAAAAACACAAGGTAGGTGTGCCTAGATTCAGTTTATAACTAACTGACTTCTTCTATGATCATATTTTCTCAAATCTTGAAATTACAAAATCTTTCCTTAAAAGTAGGATTAACAACGATTAAATCAGTCATTCGTTATTAGGAAAATAATGAAAAAATTATTATTTCTGTTCATATTTGATCTCAGCCTCTTTACCTTTTTGGAAAACAGACTATAAACTTAGAAAAAGTTTATTCTTTAAAAGACTGCAGAAAATGCATCAGTTCAATCTGAAGCATAGAGCATTAAAAAATAATAATGCTATACAAAAAAATATAAAATAAGACCATTAAAAATCCTATTTTCAAAAAAAAAAAATAATCAGAGGCTGGTGTAATTGGTCATGCTTATAATCCCAGCTATTTGGGAAGCCAAAGTGGGAGGATCACTTGAAGCCAAGAGTTCAAGACTAGCCTGGGCAACAAAGAGAGACCCCCATCTCTACCCTTCTCCACCAAAATCAGAGCAAACATACCCTGGAGGGAAAAGATACTATAAATAGCAAAATTTACAGCTACTTGTGTCTTTTGGTTCACCCTTCCACAAAGGCAATTACCGTTTCATTGGGCGAGTGTTCATCTTTTGCTTGTTATAGAGCAGTCTGTTTGCAGTGCAGGTGACTGCTATAGAAGGATCAAGACAGAGTGGTTCAGCTGTAGCTAGGATGAGCTGGCTCTCAAGCAGAAGTTTGTCTTCCTGAAATGTGTAAGAGCATATGTCAATACCAGATTTAAGATTTGCAAATATGTAATCATACATAGCTTAATCTAGAAATATTCCCTGGAATTCTGCTAAGAACTACAGTAAAACACGGTATTTCAGGTGCCAATGTTAGTGTGCATGCAAACGTTTAGAAACTAGACAGCATAAAGAAACTTCTAATGGAAATTCAATGCAGGTATATCTCGTTTTATTGTGGTTCACAAATATTGCACTTTTTATATATTGAAGATCTGTGGCAATTTTGCACTGAGCAAGACTATCAGCACCATTTTCCCAACAGCACACTTATTTTGTGTCTGTGTCACATTTTGGTAATTCTTTCTGTATCTCAAACTTTTTCATTATTATTAAATATATTATGGTGATCTGTGATATTCAATGTGTACTTAATCAAGAAATGATGTATGTTCTCTGACAGCTTCACCGATCCACCACTCCCCAGTGTGGGATCTCCCCTGTCTTTCTCCTTCTCAGGACTCCTTACCCCTAGAAACATTATAATATTTAAATTAGGCAAAAAATGGCTTCTTAGTGTTCAAGTGAAAGGAAGAGTCACACATCTCTCATTTTAAATCCAAAGCTAGAAATGATTAAGCTTAGTGAGAAAGGCCTATAAACAGCTACAACAGTGAAAGCTAGGCCTCTTGTACCAGTTAGCCAAGTTGTGAATGTAAAGGAAAAGTTCATAAACAAAATTAAAAGCACTACTCCAGTGAACATCCATAACAGATAGAAAAGTAAAACAGCCTTATTGCTGATACAGAGAAAGTTTAAATGATCTGGATAGAAGATCAAACTAGTTGCAACATTTCCTTAAACCAAAGCCTAATCCAGAGCAAATCCCAATTCTCTTCAATTCTATGATGTGAGAGAGGTGAGGAAGCTGCAGAAGAAAAGTTTGAAGCAGAAAACTAGTTCATGAGGTTTAAGAGTAGAAGCTGTCTCCATAACACAAAAGTGGAAGGTGATGCGGCAAGTGCTGATATACAAACTGCAACAAGTTATGCAGAAGATCTAAGATACCTGATGAAGGTGGTTCAACAACAGGTTTTCAAATTAAATAAGACAGCCTGATACTAGAAGAATATGCCATCCAGAACTTTCATAGCTAGAGAGAAGTCAATGTCTGGCTTCAAAGCTTCAAAGAACAGGCTGACTCCCTTGTTGGGGGTTAATGCAGCTGGTGACTTGAAGCTGAAGCCAATGCTTATTTGGCCATTCTGAAAATCCTAGAATCCTTAAGAATTACTACTCTATTGGTGCTCTATAAATGGAACAACAAAGCCTGGATGACAGCACATCTGTTTACCACATAGTTTACTGAATATTTTAAGGCCACTACAGAGACCCACTGTTCAGAAAAAAAAAGATTCTTTCGAAAATACTACTGCTCATTAACAATGGCCTTGTCACCCAAGAGCTCTGATGAAGACACACAAGGGGATTAATGTTTTCATAGCTGCCAACACAATATCCACTCTGCAGCCCATGGATCAAGGAGTAACTTTGACTTTTAAGTCTTAATATTTAAAAAATACATTTTGTAAGGCTTTACCTGCCATAGATAGTGATTCCTCTGATGGATCTGGGCAAAGTAAATTAAAAACTTTCTGGAAAGGATTTGGCATTGTAGATGTCACGAAGAGCATGCATGATTCATGGGAGGAGGTCAAAATAGAAACATTAATATGAGTTTGGGAGAAGTTTATTCCAACCTTCATGGATGACTCTGAGGGGTTCAAGACTTCAGGACAAGAAGTCACTGCAGTTGTGGTGATATCAAGAGAAATACAATTAGAAGTAGAGAGCCTGAAGATGTGACTGAATTGCTACAATCTCATGATCAAACTTGAATGGATGAGTTGCTTCTTATGGGTGACCATAGAAAGAGTTTTTTTTTTTTGAGTCAGAGTCTCCCTCTGTCACCCAGCCTAGAGTGTAATGGCGCAGTTCACTGCAACCTCCGCCTCCTGGGTTCAAGCAATTCTCCTGCCAGGTACCACCACCATGCCCGGCTAATTTTTGAATTTTTACCAGAGACAGAGTTTCACCATATTGGCCAGGCTGGTCTCGAACTCCTGACCTTGTGATCTGCCTGCTTTGGCCTCCCAAAGTGCTGAGATTATAGGCATGAGTCACTGCACCCCGCAAAAGTGGTTTCTTGAGATAGAATCTATTCCTGGCTGTGAACATTGTTGAAATGACAACATAATATTTAGACTATTACATAAACTTAGGTGATAACACAGCAGTGGCAGGGTTTTAGAGGACTGACTTCAATTCTGAAAGATGTTCTACTGTAGGGTAAAACTGCATCACATGCTATAAAGAACTCTTTCATGAAAGAAATAATCGATGGGGCAAACTTCACTGTTGTCTTTCAAAAAACTGCCACTGCCATCCCAATCTGTCAGATCCTGATCTGTCAGCAGTCATTAATATCTAGGCAATACCTTCCACAAGCAAAAAGGTTATGACTTCCTGAAGGTTCCGAAGATCATTGGCATTTTTTAGCAATAAAGTATTTTTAAATTAATGTATATAAGTTGTTTTTTTAAACATAATGCTATGGTACCCTTAATAGTCTACAGTAGACTCCTGAACAACATGGATTTGAACTATGCAGGTCCATTTACACAGGAGTTTTTTTCTTTTCTTTTTTTTGAGACAGAGTCTTGCTCTGGAGTGCAGTGGTGTGATCTCAGCTCACCGCAACCTCTGCCTCCTAGGTTTACGTGATTCTCCTGCCTCAGCCTCCTGAGTAGCTGGGACTACAAGCACACAACACCATGTCTGGCTAATTTTTGTATTTTTAGAGACGAGGTTTCACCGTGTTGGCCGGGATGGTCTCGATCTCTGGAAGTTGCCAAGAGAACTGGCAAGATGAACTTTTCTTCTTCCTCCTCCTCGGCCTACTCAATGTGAAGATGATGAGGATGAAGACCTTTAATATGATATACTTATTGAATAGTAAACAAATTTTCTCTTCTTATGATTTTCTTAATGTTTTCTTTTCTCTAACAATTAACTGTAAAAATACAGAGCACAATACATATAACATACAAAATACATGTTAATCACCAGGCATGGTTGCTCACATCTGTAATCCCAGTACTTTGGGAGTCCCAGGCGGGCAGATCGCTTGAGCTCAGGAGTTCGAGATCAGCCTGGGCAACATGGTGAAATCCTGTCTCTACCAAAAATAAAAATAATTAGCTGGGCATGGTGGCATGCACCTACAGTCCCAGCTACTCAGGAGGCTGAGGTAGGAGGATCACTTGAGCCTGAGAGGCAGAGGTTGCAGTGAGCTGAGACTGTGCCAATGCACTGCAACCTGAGTTACAACCTGACTCCATCTCAAAAACAAAACAAAACAAAACAAAAAAACAAAATCCAGTAAGGCTTCCCAGTCAACAGTAGGCTCTTAGTAAAGTATTAGAAGAGGAGTCAGAAGTTACACATGGGTTTTTGACCGCACAAAGGCCACTGCCCGTAACCTCTCTGTTGTTCAAGGTCAACTATATAGTGTAAATGTAATCTTTTTATACACTAGGAAACCAAAAAGTTCATGTGACTTGCTTTATCGCAGTATTTGCTTTACTGCAGTGCTCTGGAATCGAACCCACAATAACTCCGAGGTATGCCTATAATTTGTAGAGTATGGAATGGTCAGATTGTAAGAGTGGCTACTCATTAATTCAAGAAAGTATTTGAGCACCTATGATGTGTTAGGCACCTTTACAGGAGTTGGGGATAAAGTAGTGAGCAAAACAAAATATTCTGCTCTCACAAAACCTATAGGGTCGTAAAGGGTTATGGCATTTTTTAGTAACCGTGAATAGTCCCATCCTATACTCAACTATATTACAAGAATAAAAATGACTCTGCTAATATTGAGTGAACTCTATCTACCCAATTCCAAAGTACATACAGGCTCTTTACTGTTATCACATAATGTACTTTACTGAATCCTATTACTTTGCTTAACCTCTGAAATATCTTGATAGCTAAGGCTATTTTTTTAAGTGAATCAATTAATAATATTGTTAAATAATAATTTGTTAGAATTAACCAATTGCTTTCTCATGTCCATTAACTAGATCTGGCTGGTTTCTTCCTCGTTGTGTTACTTAAGAATTTATTTTATTCACTGAATTCCTATAAACTGCTAGTTACAACTAGTGGCTTGATTTAATATGGGCTCCTTTTTTTTTTTTTTCTGGACAAGAGTTCTTTATTGGTGCTATTACTACTGTTGTATGTCTCTTGCATCAAACCGGGAGGTACACAATAATTAACTGTTCCATCTTCAATCAGTAGGTTTAATCAGATTGCTACATTACAAAATTTCCCATTAACCTATCATCTAATAGTTTTCACATCCAAGAATTACTGTTGTCTAGATTCATTACTTCATTAACACTTTCAAACTTTTATTTTTCAAAAG